AATAGTTAATGTTAAAATTTCTGATATCAAGTTTTTAAAATATCAATAAATCAGTTATTTTTTATTATAAAAGATACATATCATAAAAGCATATATATTACATAAATATCTATGAGTTTATATTTCTGTACTGGATAGCCAATCTGAAGAATGAACTAGAGAAAAGCAGAGACAAGGAACTCAATATAGTATTTGAGTCCCCAGATCCATGTTTTCTAGATGCTCAGCTAGCCATCTTACCCTTGTGTTACCCTGTCCTTCTTACAGCAGTTAGAATGGCCAAAATCAGCAAGAGAGGAAAAAACATATGTTGGAAAGGATGTGGAGAAAGGGGAACACTCTTACATTGTTGGTGGGAATGCAAATTGATATTAAGTTTTGATGAGAAATGGAATCTCACACTTTGCTGGTAGGAATGCAAATGGTGTAGTTACAATGCAAATGGTGTAGTTACTTTGGAAGAAATAATATCGACCCATATAGTCCAGCATTTATACTCTTGGTATTTTTCAAGAAGAAATGAAGACATATATCCACCCAAAGAACTGTATGCACATATTTATTGTAGATTTATTTGCAATGGCTAAAATCTGAAAACAACCCAGATGTTCATTAACTAGTAATTAGGCAAACAAATTGCTGTATATCCATACAGTGGCATGCTACTTAGTGAAAAAAGGTCTGGACTACAGTAAAGCCAACATGGATAACCTCAAAAGGATTATGCTAGTTGAATGAATCCACTAATAAAAAGTCTACATACTATATGATTTATGACAATCTGAAAGAAGCAAAAACATAGGGAGAGAAACCAGATCAGAGGTTGCCATGGGCTATGGTGCAGAAAGGGGATTGTCTGCAAGGGGGCAGAAGGCAACTTTTTGGAGTGGTTGAAATATTTTATGTATTGATGATATGGTAGACACATGATTGTAAACTTCGATCAAAATTCATCAAAATTCACAACTGAAATTATACATTAGTTAACCCAACTTTTTAAAAGTTTTACCTTAAAAAACCCAATGTGATATATAAATGAGAGAAAAAGCACCAGAATCAGCTGGAGCCCTGCCTGAGCTTCACCACAGCCCACTCTCTGGCCTTGCCAACTCATATAACTCCTCTGGATCTATTTCCATCTGTAACACAGGACTATTACCTTTCCTCCTTTCTTGGAGACGTTAGTAGCCTGGAATGATGTCATAAATCTAATATTTCTTTAATAGAATCCAAAATACTAGGCAGATGAGAGAAACCCTTAAAACCTTAAACGGAGGTTGCTTGTCTGCCTTTGGCTTCTTGTGCAATCCCTGAGAGAGTTAATTTTTAGGGACCCTAGGAGCTTGTTAGCAGCCAAATAGAGCACCAGGATAGACTCTCTGGGCTCCTGCCTCACACCTTTTATAAGCCTTTGGAGACAGGCCACCTAGGGTCAGCTTAGCACTCACCCCATCTCTACAAGTCCCCAGCCAGGAGTAGCACCCAGAGTACTCACAGAAAGGTAAGCCCCACCATGATATTTTCCACTGCTCCAGAGCTCCTAGTTTCCTTCCATCTTGGGGGGGGGTGGACATCATTTATGATCTTCATATGGCTTTTTCCTTGTTGATAGAACAAAGAACTGAGGGATACTTGGATTCAGGAAAGGTAGGGAAATATCATGGTGAGGTTTTCCACTCTGAGTCACTGAAAGATGGAAGGTCAGGGCTTGCAAATAGAGGGACATCAGAGGGAACTGACTGGGGTAAAGAGTAGGGGAAAGAAGAGTCTGGGAGAGCCAAGAAGGCTATTTAGGTTGGTCAGGGCAGAGTAACCTGTATTTATAGAATCTCACACCTTTAAGTAAACCTAGAGATAATATGGTATCCCCTTTCATACTACAGAAGGAAAAAGGGATGGATGGATGGATGGATGGATGGATGGATGGACAGACAGACAGATAGATGGTTAAGGGCCTTGGGAACCAACAAGGCCTGGCAGAAAAAGAACAAGTTCTTCATTCAGAACAAACTCTTGCATATGTGATCTTTGATGAGTTAAATTTTTTGAGCCTCACCTTTCTCATTTGTAAAATGATTACCTTTCTTCAAGACTATCTGTAAAGTTTAAATGTAACATATAACGTACTAACGTATAACAGAGTATACATTTATAGAAACATTAGCTTTCTGTTTTATTTTTCTTTTTCATTCCTTCTTTTCTCCCTCCATACCTCCCTTCTTTTTTCCCCCATTTTTCCTTTCTCAAAGTCCCAATGCTAGTAGAAACTTGTTTATAACACAAATAACATAAGCACCTGGACTCCAACTCCACAGCTCTTTCAGCTGTGCTGAGTTGTCATTCTTGTAAACCAGAAGAATGGAGGGGGGAGGGAAAAGAGAGAGAGAGAGAAGGAAGAAGAAGGGGAGAAGAGGGAGAGAGAGAAAGGGTGAGTGGGAGTTTGTGCATGGCTTTGTGGAGAGAAAGAACTACATATAGCATATTGAAAGAGAGAACTCGAGGGGAACTGACCCTTGTATGAAAGGCAGGGTGGGAGATGATTGAAGAAGTGGGGAGTGGACAAATACATCCAAGATGAAGAGGCATTGCTGCTGCTTAGAGCAAGAATGAACTCTTGCCCCTGTGCTATGTGACACCGGGCTGTATCGCTGCTATGATTTCAAACCCAGATTGGGCTTAATATTAAGCTAAGAAAATCCATCTGTGAGGACATTTCCTATGGTGACACTAGGGATCCCTGCAAATATTTTCTCTCTTCTCACCAAATAACCTGCATCCACAAATTGCCTGTCCCGGCAGTGGCAGGTGTTGGGGTATTCCTTTTTTTCCCCTCTTTGTCTTTTAGTTTCAAAGGTAAAATTTAGTGATTCATCAGTTGCATATAACACCCAGTGTTCATTACATCAAGTGCTCTCTTTAATGCCCATCACCCAGTCATCCCATCTCCCCACCCATCTCCCCACCAACAATCCTCAGTTTGTTTCCTAGAGTTCAGCATCTCCAGCATTCTGGAAGGGCATAATCAGGAGACATGTATCTCCTGCTTAGGGCAAAGGAGGCATTGTCACTCTGCACTGTGTCTGAGTCTAGCTCTTGGTAGAGTTAAAGTTTGCCCAAGACTGAAGTTGTGATAGAAAAGTGTACACAAGTGTACAGTGTCTGAGAGGTTTGTGGCTGACTTCCTACTGTGAGGATCAGTGGTGGTCATAGGTGGGAGGTAGATTCTGGAAAGGAAGACAAAACCTGTGAGAGGCTAGCAGTCTTCTTTCTCCAAAAGAGGGTCAGTATTGGCCCAAAAGATTGCCAACAGTTTTCACAGGAAAGGACAGAATGGAGGTGCCAGGGGTAGTGTAGAGTCTCCTGTCGTAGCCTATTAGCATAATCTACATTCTTTGTCTTGTGCTGTTGATTCCAAGTAGCCTTCTAGTGTGATTTCTGGCAAGCTACACCTCATAATGGTTCAGCTCCCCACCCCTTTCTCCATTTGCAGGTTATTAGTTGTCTCATGAGAGGAGGGGAAGATCAATTAAAAACTGGGGTGAATAAGGAGGACTTCCTTGAGATGATGGGGCAATGACCCAGGACTGAGCCTCAAAGGATGGAGTTTCGACATGTGGAATGGAATAGTGTCCTAATTTGAAAGGAAAACTAGCACAGTCATGGACAAAGGGTGGCCCAGCAGAGCAAGAGTCCAGCAGAAGGGGCCCCATAGTTACCTTTCCAGAGCTATTGATGCAGTCACATTGAAGAACTTTTGACATCATGGGTTGATTCCTCAGTTGTCTGGGCACTTGTTGGGAAAACCAACCTGCTACCATGTGCAATTGAGTGGAAACTAGCTATATGTTCCCTGGGATTTCAAATCCCCTCTTTTCCCTTGGAAAAGCTCCTGATCTCTGACCCCACCCCCTAAAAAATCATCAGTCTTCTCCATATCACTTAATAGCAACTTCAGTTGCTCAGGCAAAGAATCTTGGAATCACCTCTGTACCTTCTCTTTCTCTCATACCTCATGCCCAATCTATTAGTTCCACCACCAAAATATATGCAGAATCTTACTTCATTTAACAAATAAACAATTATTGAATAGAAGAGGGGATGGATGGATGGATGGATGGATAGATGGATAGATGGATGGGATCCTGACCTCTTTGAATAGTTGTGGTGATGACAAGACCTGAAGACTTAGAAATATCTTTCCTTTCTTTTTCACACAAAATGTCATTCATAAGACATCAGTAACAATATGTCCAAGTTCTGTAAGAGGCTGTACAAAGTTAAATTGTGGATTTGGGGGAGTCAGACAGTCTTGGGTTTGAGGACTGGGCTACTTATTTAACCTTTTAAAAACCTAAGTGTCCTGATAATATAGATATAATAGCAGTTACCCCATAGAGCCCTGTGAAAATTAAATAAGAAACTTAATATGAAGTTCTTAACACAATACTCATAGTTTACACTTTAAAAACGTTGTCCGTGCTCTCTTAAATTGCCTTCATGACTTCCATATTTAGCCTCTGAGTATTTCTGTGTTTTGGTCTGCTCCTTGATCCTTTCCTTCTCACTCTCTCTTGCATCTCTTTTTTATTCATCCTCCTACTGTTCTTTATGCTGTTGCTACTCTCCTATAATCTGCTTTCTAGAACCTCATACATTCATCTATTCATTGAGCTAATCAAAACTACTATTCAGTCACTCTATACCAACACAACCTCAATAGCTATTAAAAATGTTGTGAGGTAGCCACTGTCCTATACCAAAGAGTAGTTTCTTCTGCCCCAGTCCCTTCCTGGAATCCCCTGGACTTGAGCCTGAAAAAGCAATTGAAGTGTTCATGTCTGGCATCATGGTGGACTCCAGGAGACCACTCAAGCTCTAGGCTGGTAGGTGCTCACGCCACAATCCCCAACGTCCAGTAGTCTCAGATTAGGTGTCTACTATGTGTCTCTCTCCCCCTTTGGCAGGTTCAGGTCTTCTCCCACTGCAGAGATCAGAAGCAGCCTATGAAGCCAGATGCCTGGGTCAATAGGACAACTGTCACTGAGTTCATCCTTCTTGGCCTGACAGAAAACACAAGACTGCAACCCATCCTTTTTGTCATCTTCCTCTTTGCCTATGTAGTCACTGTTGGAGGCACCTCAGTATCCTGGCTGCCATCTTTGTGGAGCCCAAACTCCACACGCTCATGTACTACTTCCTGGGGAATCTGTCTCTGCTAGACATCGGATGCATCACTGTCACTGTCCCTCCGATGCTGGCATGTCTCCTGGAGTGCAGAGTCCCCTATGCTGCCTGCATTTCACAGCTCTTCTTGTTCCATCTCCTGGCTGGTGTGGACTGTCACCTCCTGACAGCCATGGCCTATGACCACTACCTGGCCATCTGTCAACCCCTCACCTACAGCACCCGCATGAGCTGTGAAGTCCAAGGAGCCCTGGTGGGCATTTGCTGCACCATTTCCTTTATCAACGTTCTGACTCACACAGTAGCTATATCTATGCTTGATTTCTGTGGCCCTAATGTGGTCAATCACTTCTACTGTGACCTCCCACCCCTTTTCCAGTTCCCCTGCTCCAGCACCCATGTCAATGGGCAGCTGCTTTCTGTGGGGGCCACTTTCATGGAGATGTTCCCCACGATCCTTATCTCAGTGTCCTATGCCCATGTCACCACTGCAGTGCTATGAATCCATTCAGCGGAGGGGAAGAAGAAGGTCTTCTCCACATGTGGCTCCCACCTCACTGTAGTCTGTATCTTTTATGGAACTGACTTCTTCAGTTACATGCGTCTGGGCTCAGTGTCAGCTTCAGATAAGGACAAGGGGATTGGGATCCTCAACACTATCTTTAGCCCCATGCTGAACCCGGTCATCTACATCCTCCAGAACCTGGATGTGCAGGGTGCCCTGAAAAGGATGTTGATGGGGAAGTGACCACCTGAATGAGAAAGGGGGCATCAGCATGCCACTAAAGCACCCACTGACTTTCTCATGCTGAAGGTGTGGATGTGGGCAGTGGGGATCTTCAGGGGTGGCTGGAAGGATAGGAAGAAAGTAGATAGTATGGACCAGAGTAGAATATGGTTTACCTTGGACTGGGGGGAAAAGCTAAAGCTGGTGGAAGATGGATCAAAGAGAGGTAGGAGAAAAGCATAATGAGTGTCAGGAAATGGGATGGAAATTGGCTATTTTAAAAAATTTAATGAGTATTTAATTGAAACGTTTAAAATGCTAATAAAAGCAAAATGTTTGCATCCTCCACCCACCATTTAAGATAAAAATATATCTGTACTGGTGAATGGGGTATGGTTTTTAAAAGATTCTTCTTCAGGAAATAAACCCAGGACTGTGAAACTAAATTGAGGTTTGACATAGCCTAGGAATAAAGTGTTAGGACCCACCAACGTCTTCTTCAGAGCAACATTATTAAATACTTGTTTCCAAAGTCAGGGTCTCTATCCTGAGTAACCATTAGGGGGAACACCACATTTTCATGTCTGTGTGTGAGTTAGCTGACTCACAACTCCTCCACCTAAAACTGAGGATGGATATCACATGTTTCAGGAGAAGAAACACCCAGAATAGCAAGTTTTTTTTTTAATTGGCAAAATACAATTTTGCCAATTTTAAAAATTGACAATATACAATACACAAAATACAGTCAGTATATATATTGATATATAATGGGCATTCTGTTTAATATGTGTAGATACTAAGCAAAGGTGAGGAGGGAAAGGAAAATAGAGGGAGATAGTGTTCACAGTTTACCAGTGAATGAGTATTAGAAACCAGGGTTTTACAAAAAGAGCAAAGCTAAGGCAATCCAGAGAAGAACAGTGAATAGAATAAATGCCCATTTCATGTCCTGTCATGGCTATCTCTAGATTTTTTTCTGTGAACCATTTCAGACACTTCCTGGCCCAGAAGTTTTGAAGTCTGAGAAGAGTGACCTTACTTGGCATGCTTATTAATTGCTTGAGGAGGGCAGCATGGAACCCTGAATAATATTTCCCAATCAAATGGATCTACAGTCATTCTCCAAGTCCAGTCACCTACTAGGTCCTGCTAAACAGTCCCTAACACTCTCTTCTACCCACACCTTTGTCCTTCCGCAGACAACTCCTTCCTGATTCAGGCCTGTGCCATCCAGTCCCACTGGGGCTCCCGCAGTAACCTCTGAGCCTGTACTCTCCTCCCCACTAGCTGCTTCCCACATCTCCCTGATTAACCCCTGGAGATATATCTGTCCCATGTCATTCCACCCTGAAAAGCCACTGATTTCACTGATTTCTGACCACCATATTACATCCAGACCTCTGTGGTGTGCACGGCCCTCCCTCCATCACCTCTTCCTGCTTCAGTCTTGAACTCTTAGCCACAACCTCTCACTCAGGGAGGGCTTCTCCTTGCTAGGTGACTCCTCTGACAGACTGTGTTCTGAGCAGCAAGACACCATCATCAACCTTTCTTGATTCCCTGCATCCTCTTTTGCTCTCCCCACTACATCATAAGCTCCTGAAAGACAGGAACTATTTTTAATATCAAACTGTGTCCTCCAAATACTTAGCATAGTCCTGAGTACAGAAAACAATTTTGCAGACTGATTAATTAGTAATAGGAAGCATGACCTATGAAAAGAAATTTGTATTTTACGGGGGAGACCAGTTTAACTGCTAGATGTTTTCAAAATGCTAAAGGTACAGCCATTTTGGAAAACTATAGAGTTTCTCAAAGAGTTAAAAATAGAGCTACCCTATGACTCAGCAATGGCACTACTGGGCATTTATCTCAAAGATACAAATGTGGTGAGAAGAAGGACCATATGCACCCCAATGTTCATAGCAACAATGTCTACAATAGCCAAACTGTGGAAGGAGCCAAGATGCCCATCAACAGGCAAATGGATGAAGAATATGTGGTTCATATACACAATGGAATATTACTCAGCCATCAGAAAGGATGAATACCCACCATTTGCATTGATATGGATGGAACTGGAGGAGATTATGCTGAGTGAAATAAGTCAAGCAGAGAAAGACAATTATCATATGGTTTCACTTATTTGTGGAACATAAGGAATAGCATGAAGGACATTAGGAGAAGGAAGGAAAAAATGAAGAGGGGTAGTTAGAGGGGGAGATGAAGCATGAGAGACTATGGACTCCGGGAAACAAACTGAGGGTTTTAGAGGGGAGCAGGGTGGAGGGATGGCTCAGCCCAGGAATGGGGATTAAGGAGGGCCCAGATTGCATGGAGAACTGGGTGTTATATGCAAACAAGGAATCGTGGAACACATCAAAAACTAGTGATGTACTGTATGGTGACTAATGTAATATAATAAAAAAATTATTTTTAAAAAAGTGCCATTATTTAAAAAAAAACTGCATGGTGTCCTGGTGGTGACAGTGCAGTTCCAGGCTCAGAACCCCTCTGTGTGCTGTGGCTGCAGGGCCAGGGCCAAAAGAGGAGGCCAAAGGCCCCATAGCAGCTCAGACAAGGTGGCCCAATGCCTACCCACCAGGTGCATTCAGGTTCAGCAGGCCTTCAGGCACGAGCTGTGTTCTCTGCATCTTCCATCTCCACAAACCGAATCCGCAGTGCTCTTTGCAAATGAGGCAAGGTGCTTCTTCGATTTTGGATGCCAGATGAATACAAGTCACAGCAACAATCTGAAAGAACCCCTTACTCAATAAAAAGTTGTTAGATTATAGCACTATCCAATGCAGTTAGGAAAAAGGGCCCCTCTCGAAGTTTAATGAACTCACTGTGATGAAGAAATTGCAGGACACAACTGGGATAACTTTTGGTGAGATTAAAGAATGATTCACATTTCTAGATTCCCCCACCCAAAATACCCCAAAGGTCCAATATTAGGGGGATATAAAGAAATAAAAGGAAAAGGAAAAACAAAACAAAAAACAAAACCTTTCACTTGGTAAAATAAAGACAATCATTGAGTTTGATGTAAAAGAGAGAAACTTTCCTGAGTGCTTATGAACCATATCATCTCTCCTCAGAACTAAGAGACACTGCCTGAAGCTAAGACAAAGAAGAGTCTCCTTCCTGCAGAGAATTAGAAAAAGAGCATTTGGTGTGCCTGGGTGACTCAGTTGGTGAAGCAACTGCCTTCAGCACAGATCATGATCCTGGAGTCCCAGGATTGAGCCCCGCATTGGGCTCCCTGCTTCTTCCTCTGACTTCTCCCCTCTCACTCTCTCTCTCAAATAAGTAAATAAAATCTTAAACAAAAGAAAAAAAAGAGAGCATTTAGTTGCACAAGCTGACCAACAAGCCAGGGCATGAAATTTGATAACACCCAGAAACCAGGATCTATTTAACATCAAGCACATTACAGAGGAGGGGTTATAATGAATAAGTAATCGTATGTTATGACAAAGTGTTATCTTTCTCTAATTCATGTTCTGAAGTGAATAGTTTGTTTTAGGACTACCTTTAGGTACTGTGAATATTGTTATTTACCCTAAGTCGTATCATGTCTCAGAAAGCTACTCCCCCAGTGAAATCTGAAGTAAATAGCTTTTAACTCTGCTATGCAAATATGAGTTATTCATGTTTCATGTGAATAATTTGAATAGAAAGCATATTTTTGGTTAAGAAATGTAAATTCAATAACATGAGAAGATGTATAGCATCTATTGCTAAACTGAGAAAGTGATGATAATGTGATATGTGTATGTGTGTGGGGCAAAAAAATCCTGGACAACAAACCTTGGGCTGTAGATGGTGATTCCCTCCATGGAGGAAGGTAGGACTGAGAGCTATGGGAAGTGGAGAAGCACTTTGCTTTTATGCTATCTACTTTTATTTGAAGTTTTTTTTTTACTGGATTCTGTAATTTAAAAAAAACATACAAGGGATGCCTGGGTGACTCAGTCAGTTAAGTGTCTGCCTTCTGCTCAGGTCATGATCCCAGGGTCCTGGAATCGAACCCCGCATCGAGCTCCCTGATTGGCGGGGAGTTTGCTTCTCCCTCTCACTTGTGCTCTCTCTTGCTCTCTCTCTCAAATAAATAAGTAGAATCTTTAAGAAAATTAAAAACAAAAAATTGTTTATTTAAATTTTAATTATCCAAGTTATAGTACATTATTAGTTTTTGATATAATGTTCAGTGATTCATTACTTGAGTCTAATACTCAGTGCTCATCATATCACATGCCCTCCTTAATGCCCATCACCCAGTTACCCCATCTCCCCACCCCCTTCCCTTTCCCCAACCCTCAGTTTGTTTTCTTGGAGTCAAGAGTCTTCTATGGCTTGTTTCACTCTCTGATTTCTTCCCATTCAGTTTTCCCTCCTTTCCCCTATTGTACTCTGTGCTGTTTCTTATATTCCACATATGAGTGAAACCATATGATAATTGTGTGTTGATCAGAGGAACACAATCAGAAAAAAAATTTAAAAAGTACCAATGGTGACAATGTGGAGCTGGGAGGGCAAGATGAACTGACATATTCCAGATGTCATCAGTTACTTTGTGAACTTTTGAGGACATCCAGGATCCATGTGTCAAGCACAACAGATGTCATTTCATACATACTGGGCATCTACATACAACTACTTGGAAATGCTTTCCTACACACCCTGTGCTGCCTCCTTCCCCACATCTATCCTACCATCCAGAGGCTTAATCATTTGTCCAACACAGAGAGAGGTACTTTTAGGACTCAAGAGAATTACAACAGTAGTTCATTTTCTCTTATTCTATTAGCATATAACAGTATTTACAAAGCAATTTGAAATCTGTTCTCATTTGAATGTTGCAACTGCACAATTGAATGTCACCCACAACCAGGGCCAGGATTGCAGAGTAAGACCAGTTCCTATTATTCCTACTTTGTAGATTAAAAAAAAAAAAAGCACAGGTACAAACAGGCTAAGTGATTTCCCAGAGACCAGAGATTTAAAAGGTAAGA